TCGACCATTTCTGGCCAGCAACTTTCAGCGTCATTAAGCCGCTGCGCCACCGCATCCCCCTTTGCATAAATTACAGTGATCTAAATTGTGTCCCATGTCCAATTTAACTGCATTTAATTAGAGTTGCCTCCTAGACAACAATAATGTCCCCTCATGCCGTTACCCTGTTCTGAAAACCAAATGTACAATGTTTACATTTGCAACAGTAAAACGTGAATGGTGTGGGGGAGACCACCTGTAAGAGAATTTAGGCAGATGTGCAGGAGCAATGCTTAGCTTCCACATACCTGCTTCTTCTTCTCTGCAAATGCTCCTTGGAGCCCACTTCTACTTTCAGAACCCAGTTTGGCGAAGAAAATGAACAACTCCTCAGATTAGCCAAATTAGTTGATAATGAAAATTAAACATTCCATTTTCCTTTGTACCATGAAAAGAGGAGAGTAGTGTTGGGGTCTCCAGTCTTCATACATACGAAAAAAATTTCTTTGAAGTGAGCAGGATCATAGAATCAGGTTAGAAGGAGGCATCTAGGCCATTGAGTTCAGTTCCCTCTTCAGTGCAGAAATCCAAAACAAAGCATCCCCAGTGAATGGCCATGTAGATTCTGCTTGAATCGATATAATGAAGGGGAACCCGCCATTTCTCTAAGTAGGTGATTCCATGTTGAATTGCTCTTATTGTTAGTTTTTTTTCTTTTTCTTTCTAGCATTCAGTCAACATTCACCTTCCTGTAACTTCCTGTATCTTCTATTTTATATACTTCTTTCTGGAGTTCCCAGTTTCTAAAATTATTCTTTGTAAATCATAAAGGCATCAGGAATTTATGCTAATGGATTGCATACATTTGGCATATTACTCACAATATAAGATGTCAAATTAACTCTTGATTATTCCAAGATTGATTGGCCTCAGATTATATACCTACTCTAATGTCAGATAATTAAACCTAAAATGTTTATTATATGTGAGCTGCATCAATGTGAGGTGTGTCAAACTTGGTATTCTGTGCTTTCCTCATTAGGGTATCTGTGCCACTGCTAAAGATGCTGGATCAGATATTAGCCAATGGCTGCTTTGATGTATTTGTAACTGAAGAAAAGTAAGTGGCAAATTAGTAGATGTCTCCTCCTCCTTCAAAATTGCTGGAAAATCTTCAAAGAGCAATGTTCCATTCTCCCTAGTTTCTAATAACAGGGAAAATAGAACCCAGATTATTTTTACTGTATCTTAACGAAAGGATTATTTGGAAAACTATTTTGTTTTGAAAAGTTGATTGCTGATACTGAAAGCTGAGTTATAAACCTTGTGTTCCCCAGGAGATAAGGACTGTCCCTCCTTCTTGAGTAGGTGGGCACATTTCCAACCAAAACACTGCTTCGAGTTCCTTCAACAAAGCTAAGGAGGTGATCAAAAAGAGGAGCGCTTCAGCATAAATTAGGTCAAGCCACAAACCTCTTATCTTTCTGTAAGAGCCCATTTAAGTCACTTTCTAGTGAAGTGCTACCTTCATTTGTCAATCTAAGTTATAGATGGGCATTTGCTAAAACCCATTTTGCTACCCTCCCTTCAGCAGTTCTGGAGGGCAGGTATAACAGTATACCAACCACCCAAGAGACTCTGCTTATATGACTGAGGTAGAATCAGTTGAACAGATTATGTAGAAATTTGGACAAGACTATTTCAGCCCTTACTTACCAAAATGCCACTGGGGGAGATGGGCGGCATACAAATTTGAAAAATAAATAAAATAAATAAATAAAATGCCAGGACAGATTTTATATTTCTTATCTGCTGTGTGATAAAAACTTAGAAGAAATATACATAGCTTCAAAATGTTGTTATATAGCAACAATGGTTCACAGTAGCATGATACTCTCTAAAGGAACAGGCTAGATGCATATGAGATATATTGTACATTAAAGCCAATCGCTGTTATATTTTATGGATACTTTTTATGTACATTTATTCTGGTCTAATGCCAGAATAAGATAAAGTAACACTAGATTGCAATAATCCATGTTTATTTTATAATAAACGCTATAGGGCTTAGAAGTGATGTTAGAGGTTGGTATTTTGCATTGCAACATACCAGTGTCCCATTAAAAAAAATAGATAGAAATAAATGGAAAATGATCAGTTGGGATGGTTAGTCTAGATGGGCATCAACAGAAGTGTTCCCTTTAAGCACCAACTCAGATTTTACACATAGGTAAGTGATTGACAGCAGTAATTTTATTCTTTTGAAGACTAGCAGCTGGAGGGCACTTCATGTCTTGCTCTTGATTTAAGGACTGCCTTGTTTTTCCTAACTGGTTTGTCATAACTGATATGGTTAAAATGCAGCTCCCCTTTTTGAAAAACTCAATTTTGAGAAACTGTGGGCCCAACTTGCATAACACAGAACCTTTGGACAGACCCCTTTTCCCTAGACCAGTGTTGTCCAAACTTGGCCACTTTAAAATGGGTGGGCCTTAACACCCCGGAATTCCCAGGCAGCATGGGGGGGTGGGGGATTTTAGGGGTTGGAGTCCCATCATCTTTAAACGGCCCACTGTGGT